AAAACGACATGCTATAGTATGACTTTTTTTTTCAGGCCAAAACACATAATGTGTCATATTTCAGGAAATACTTTCCCAAAGTGTTTTCTACCACATGCATGATAGTATTTGCACTATTTACTACATCCTGACATGTTTTCACGACATTCTGAGACATTACCTTTTTTAGCGAAAAACGACATGCTATAGTATGACTTTTTGTTATCAGGCCAAAACACATATTTTTTTTTTTCGGTGAGGACACCTGGGATCTTTCTGCGTGGAGTCTCCATGTTCTCCTCGTGCAGCGTGGGTTCTCTCCAGGTTCTCCAGCTTCCTCCAAGAGTCCAGAAACATGCTGAGGTTAATTGGCGATTCTAAATTCTAGACTCCAGCTCCACCCTAGTGAGGATTAAGCAGTGTATAGATAATGGATGGATGGATGGAAAAAGTATACAATAAGTTTCCTCCATTTTCTCAGTTACCGAGGGGTCCCACCATATCAAATATATGACTGGATTAGAAGCAACATAAGAAAGGTGTGAGAAATGGCTAAACCGTCACAAACAAACGTCATCCAGGAGCTAAAATGTTATAAAAATGCAGTTTAGATTGCAGTTGACATTTGAAATCCTCAGTCACAGCCACAGACTGTGAAAATGTGACACAGTATGAAATAAAACAGAACGAGACCAAAGCTTTTCTTGTGTTGATATCTTTATAATGAAATTCATGAAGTATACACAATGCATTCTACACTATTACAATTTCCACACGTTGATAATGTTTTTGTCGTTGGATGATAAAGCTACGTTTTGGCATTTAATTAACCAAACAGCAGTCAGACTGAGAAGCTTGGAGCCAGAAAACAAAACAAAAAACTTAAAAAAAAACAAAACATTAAAAACATAAAACATTGTGGATTAAACTGTAGCACGGCAGCAGGTGGGCGGGTACAAGTAGGTAACATTAGTTATAGTTACGGAGTAGAAAATCATAAACAAAACTTCAATATTCATTTGTTTTTTTTAAATGTTCGTTATGTACAACCCAGTGCCTTTACAGGGATTTGTTTCAACATGTAGATTCCGGCCAATCAGATTCCACCTTTCCACCTAGACAGGAAGTAATTTACAGTTAATTTTAGAAGCTTTTTTCTTTTTTTTTTTAAATGTATGAACAGAAATCGGAAAATTGTTGAACCCCATTATGAGTCGGCTTAAATGTGAAAACGCACACAAGCACTTTGTAAACTCCGCCCATCTCCTCTGGACCGATTTAGACCGTTTGACCTCTGATGACTTCACCCTGGAGTTCCGCGACACTGATCCACGCTGCAGGTGCAGAGTTACGCTGCCGCTTGTTGACTGGCGTCTTTATGCGTTTGACTTTTTCTGCCCCGACGCTACACAACATTATATTTATACGCACTCGATTGCCACTTCAGTATTTAAATCCCTCTCAGGCCTCGGTAGCATCTGCCTGCCGAGCACGTCGAACGCTTTGAATTTATCAAGGAAATGTTTCACGGGGATTTTTTTTGATAAAGCCGATCAATTCCTGCAGATTCTTTTTGTGAGCTGAGGTGTTTTTCTTTTTGGTGCTGCGGTTATCCTGTTCCTGCTCATCCCAAAGGTGCTCCGCTGAGCCGAGTGCAGGCAGCTGGAAAAAATACAAGTTTCTGTCATGTTTCTGGAGCCATCTTGAGACGACGCTTTATCACACAGCTATGAAGAGGTGCGCCCGGAGACGAGCAGCATCTGAGCTGCAGGGACTCTACCGTAGGCCGAGATAACAATCTAATCACTGGCAGTACGTATTATAGAGGGGTTTAATGCAAAAAAGACAACAGAACCTACAAAACGCAGCATTCAGACATCGTAGTTTGGTGACGAGTCACACAAGCTCGACTCGTCCGGCATCAGAAGCTAAAGTGAGGCCAAGAATCAACCATTGCCATCCGTCTTCTTCACCTTTCACTGCTTTTTCCTGCATTCTTGTGCTGGTTTTAAACTCTCAGGTGACCTTTTGCCTTTTGCAGCTGATTGTATTGTTTTCGTTGTCCTTGCACTCTCCTCTGTACAGATGGACTCTCATCTTGACTCCGTCTTTCAGATCTAAAACCTCTTGACCCCGTCTGCATGTATAGAGGTCATGCATTTCTGCTCTAAAGACCAAAGTTAACTCGTACATATGGTGGGTTTTTTTTCATCCTAGAAGACACATCATGAGCCAAACGACATGTCAACACCACGGCCGAGCGTTTCCACCGTCTCATAAACACCCAAGACTGACAAACCCAACAAGCTAATCCCGTCAACTCAACTTGTTCTCCTCGTCAGAATCTGTGTCCGGCTCTAACGGCTGAGTTACTCCGACGCTACTCGAGAGCAGCTGAGCAGTGTTGGAGCAGCTGGTGTGCTCGAGCTGCAGCTGAGGTGGAGGCAACAGTGCAATGACATCTAAGCCATCTTCAGGAGTACTTTAATGGAAAAAAAAGCGGCCAAATATGTAATTTATGGGTTTAATCGTCAACCAGAGAGGTACAACTATAGACTGTTGTCCACTTTTTTCTACATCTAACGGGTCTCCATTAATGCTTAGTGTTATCCAGAAGGTCTGACTGAACTGTAAACACAACACGGGCCGCCGCTCTGCTCAACAAAGCATTAACGCAACCCCGCCAGTCAAAGGTGAAAGGTCGCGGAGCAGCTGGTGCCAGGAAAAGGACGAGGCGGGTTTAACGGGAGCGTAGAAGGAATTACTGCTGTCTGTCTGTGTGTGTTTTCCCGTTACACATCCGTCGCGTCACTCTGGGTTCCAACAACGTTCCTAAATAAACTGTGCGACACACGTCGAGGTTTGCGTGCTTTCGAGCTCTTTTAGTTTCTTTGTGCTGGGAGATCCAAAGCAAGCAAACCTCGAGCTTCGTGTCTGAAATGTGAGGAAAGTTACGCTGCTGCTGCTTTTTGTGACGACAGCGTTTAAGCTTCTGATTCGACCATAAATTACATAATCCACCAGCATCATCTTTATCGACCTTCAGATCAAGGCTTTGTCAGCAAAAACTTCTCTTTAGCATCATTCATATACACATTTTAAACATTTAAAGGAAACTAGACAACCAGGAAAAACTGTTTTTTTCCCTCCCTTACATGCATGCACACACTCGTAACCTTAGTGCTTTTTTTTTTCTTTCCCTTGGACTTTCACGCGCTCGCCGTCGCTTTTCTCCTGCACACACAGTTTTTACACGACACGTTTTCAGTCAAATATTTATGAACATTTTTTTTCTCCCAAACACGCCTCACAGTCGAAACACACAAAAAAAGAAAAGAAAAACAAACATGCGCACTTACACACACACATCCTCTTTACATGAGCACATTCGTGAACATACATAGAAAAAAGAAAAGGTACTGTTCAACGTAAATTAGAAAAAAGCTCAGTTTTCGAAAAGGCGTCTATTAGCTCTCGTACCTAAAACAAACAAAAAACGGTTAATGTACAGGGACCGGTTGGTTTGTGCCAGTAGTTTAAGGTAGGGGGGGAGCGCACAGAGCGGTAAGGAAGGACGGAGTGTTTTCTTCTCTATCCCGTGAGGACAGCTGCAGTTCTGATGTCCTTACCTTCCTTCTGTGGGTCTTTAATATCAGCAGTACAAAGACAGAAATCAATGAAGCATTTCTCTTATTATTATTATTATTTTTTTGTGTGTCTTTCGGTGACCGGTGGAAGCACATCGTCTCTGTGGGAGAACTTCATCTTGTGTTTTTCGACCCCTTCTCATCAGCATCGGTCGGCTGTAGTCATTCGGGGCGGAGGAGGAGGAGGAGGAGGGAGGTTGAAGTAGTTTGGATCGGGTGGGACGAAGGAAACACGAGGGCTTTTTTTTTTAATAAGAGTAACACGAGTCTGTAGCAAAGGTGATCCTGGGATTTAACGGTTAATGTTTAAAGTTATGGCCCGGCGGGTTAAGGGGTCCAGAGGTTTCAGCGTGATGAGTCGCTCCGAGCTCCACACTGGTTAAAACTGGCTGGATGGAAGGGGGGGGGGTTATTCAGTTAGGTGGTCTCCTTGCCCTGGGTCCCGGTGACGGTCTTGATGGAGCTGAGCGTTCGGTTGAACCAGGTCTTCTTGGCGGCCTGCACCTCGTTGAGAGCCAGACCCAGATGGTGCTCCAGGTCCTAAATGAAGAAGAAGAAAAAACAGTCACTGTGAATGTCACAAGAACAAGAGTCAAAAAAAAAAACAAAACGTCTGCCAATAAATAAAACTCTATTTTTGCCTCTCCTCCATTGACAGCTTCCCTTCTCCCTCTAAGGGATGTCATTAATCATAAAATCCTCCTCCAAGATGAAATCCTTCCTCTTTGACATCGCTCCCGAAAATCTCCTCGAGCGGCTCTTTGTTGCAGTCAGAAAATAGTTCTGTCTGTTTTCCTTCAAACGCGCCACGATTTAGCCTTTATCTGAGCAACCAAACTGACCTAAATTACAGTAAACGACGGTAGCGGTGCTCACGTATAATTATAAAACACTTCACGATTGTGTTTCAGAGCTCCCCGCTGTAATGAAACTGACTCTTTTCTAATTTCTGCTTCAGACACTGTTGATCACAGCAGCAGCGCCGTCGCTCAATAAGTTAATTAAGCCGAGCCCACCAATAACGCTTCAACCACGTCTTGTTAGCGGTAAACTCTCTGTTTTGATTCGTTGGGCCTCAGCTGCCCCGGCATGTACTTAATGTTACGCTAGCTGATAAAGTCACTGGAGTAGAAACATGGCCTCCCTTTTCATTTCCATGCAGGTGATGCTGTGGTTCATACAAGCCGAGATAATAAGAAATAAACATCCCTCAACATCCCGTATCTAAACAACTGGAGTGACTGGGGATAGATCTCCTATTTCGTTGTAAAGGCAGCAGCATCGTCCCAGTGAAATTACATCTGGTATGTTGAATGTGCTGCTGCTACACAGGCTGGTACAACAAACACTGGAGGTTATATAGAAGCTAGGAAGCGTCTCCAGCTATGGGGCAGGAGGGCGACACAGTCACACGGGTCCGAACCGTGTATTACCTGGATTTTGCACTCAGCCTCCACAAGTTGCAGTTTGGTCTGGGCCAGCTCCAGCTCCATCTCCCTCAGCTGGTTCTTCAGACCCTCCTTCTCCTCATCCATCTCCTCGGTTCCCCCCGCGGGCGTCGACGTCACCGCGGCCCGGACGCGACCCTCTTTGTTGAAAAGGCTGCTGCACTTCTCACAGCCTTCGACTTTGGACTAGAGGAAGAGACAGAAAGAT